AGGTGAAAAGTCATCATATTTACGAGTTTGCAGTACCCTCTCTTGAAGTATACATACCGTATCTCAATAAACTTGTGAATGTCTTTCGAGGATGTGGTTATACAACACTGTGGCATTACCTATTGAAGTCACGCTGCAATCATCTGCACCATCCACTTATTTGGATTTATTTGAACACTGCAGATTTGGTACACCAGTGCTAAAAGAGAACCATGCTATAAAGTGTCTGGCTTTCCTTCTCTTTGTTCTTTGCCTCTGTTATCTTTTCTCTCCTCTCTGACCCTCTCTACCCTATATTACAAATCATTTTTCTCCTATATAATGAGATTCTTTTTTATGGACTACCAGATTTTGATTCTCGACTACCAAGAAATGAAGGAAATCTCAGCCAAGAAAATGCCAAATTCTCTCACACACCCCCCATAACAGCCATGATCCTCTCTCAAAAATTTTACGTCCACCATGACCCTCTCCTTGTACTCCATTCCCTCTCCCGAACCTCCACTTCTTAAACACCTCACCCCCAAATTCTCAGGTGACAGCCTTTTCTCTATACCAAACAAAACCAACCCCAATAGCAAACACTCCAAGAACTTCACCACCCACGAGGTCTCTCTACACTGCAGATCTCCTCATTTACACAACCCCAAAATTCTCAGATGACAGCCTTTCCTCTCTACCAAACAAAACCAACCCCAATAGCAAACGCTCCAAGAACTTCACCACCGAGGTCTCTGTACAAAACAAAGACCCCATCCCAAGAAAAACGTCAAGAGAGCCATTCTTTTTCCACAGAAACAAGTCCAAAGACACCCCTTCATAAGCCTTAACAGAACATGGATAGATGGAGAGCTACAGAAAGGAGGTTGTGGAGAGTGAGGTTAAAGAGAGCGTAGAAAGAGGACAGATAGACAAGGAAAGCGATGGGAAAAAAGAGGTAAGTGGGGTTTCTGGCGCAATGGTCCCCTCATGTACTTGACACTGCACAAATTAAGGATGGTGTGGAGGGGCCGCAGCTTTACTGTTGCAACCCTATTAAAACATTTTCCATCATTCAATGAATCAGAGAAGTACTTCAGAGAGCAAAAGCTATCCTAATTTTCCAATGAGGTCGTGGGCCTGATTTATGGCCCATGCCAACTGTTTTTCACAGTATGTAAGTTTCCTAATCATTCTGCAATAAATAACCAATCCCAAATAGATACACAGATACACAATACAAAAAATGAAACACGGTATTTTATTAATCTCTTTGGAGGCTCATTCTATACATAGAACACTTGCCCCACATTCAGTAGGCTTTCATGCGGGACATTGAAAATCACACTGTTCTCTCTGCAAATCCTCCTAAGAAACGCATATATATAATCAACTGCAACCCTCTTAATGAACCCTGAATCCCTCCTAGTCCTCACAATCGTATTACCCAAGATATGTACAACCCCTGCCTCCTTGCAACTCTTCAAATACTCAAACTCATCAACCCCTCCTTCTATCCTCCCCGAAGAAATAGTCAGGCTCTTACTGGTCCTAAGAGGAGACCTATCAGCAACAATAGAATCAGTCGAGGATTGTACCATCTCAATGTTTGAAGAGACCAGATTACTACTATTCTCAGAGTACAAAAAATCTGTGGACTTTTGGGTTTGCTGCAAACAAATGCTGTATTCTGAGTCAGAGCAGCCCTCCATCATGGACTCCATCCTAACAAACATAAAAAGACTATCTAAGAGCATCTTCTCGAAGTCGTCGTCTTTCTTGTGCAAGTCCTTGTAGCCATATCTTGCAACACATCTAAACATGTGGAAATTCTTGGGCCCAATTCGTTTTACAAGGAATCTCTCTTCTTGGGGCACTGTATAGACAGGGAGATACTTGACACACACAAAGACCACAACAGAGTGGATTGCGGGGAGGTTGGTTATGAAGTGAGAGAAAATGTGGGGCACACCACTTGCAAGTTCAGTGTATACGAGGCCAATTCCAGGTACGCGGACCAGGCCTAGGCTTGGACCAAGGCCCACGATCCAAGCCATGGATACACGGCTGTGCATCTCGAACTCATACCTCTTGACCGTCCCATAGTGCCATACGTACATGATGAGAAGGAAGGCAGCAGCAATGACTAGGGGGACCCACCCTCCTTGGTCCACCTTGATTAGGACGGCTGTTAAGTATGTACCCTCCACAGCCAAAGAAAGGACGGTGAAGAGCAGGACAAGGACCCAGTGGCTCCGCCAGACCAGCAACATTATTAGAGTCATGAGAAACGTTGTTACCAGCATCACTATCACGACTGCTGTGCCTGGATTCAACAAAGGGGAGTTATTAGTTGACTCCAAGAAAAAAAGTGATGCATGCCATGAATGAAATGGAGTGGAATGCCTTGCCTACTCATGTATAGTAACATAAGAAATATTGTCGTTGGGTCTTTTACATCGTGGCTGACCTCATCTCTATTTTCATCAAATAATCATGCTGTTATAACAAAACAACTGTCTTCAAATTTTATTTGTCATAAAAACTGAAAGAGCCATCGCCTAGATCATACATTTCAGAAATATCAGACTTGTGGAACTATTTTGAAATCAATAAACGAGCACAATCACCCAGAGTTAACACACCTGGAATTGATTCCACAAATAGAAGAGTAGAACTTCAAAAGCATCTCAATCAAATAAAACCTAATTAATCCAAGGAAATTATTAAAAATTAATGGAAGTGGGTGATATTGGGGCAGTAAAATCAGATTGTAGAGGCTTAGGTGAACAATTGAACAATGACCTTCCCATATTTTGGCACCCTAGAAGCACTACCTCAAGACAATATTTATCCCCAAGTGATTAAAATCAGTGTGCATAAGGTTGGAGTGGCCAATTTATCCTCAGGATACCAGAAAACAGAATGATAATACTATATTTCACCTGTCCACTGCATTAGAACAGCGAGATTGCTATGCACAGAACCTGAGTTCTTGAAAAAGTAATTAAGAGAGAAAATAGGGAATAAAAGTCGTTATAAAAAAGAACAAACCATGTTTTATAGACTGAGAAAGAGCCTCTTCACGTTGAGAATTGTGACTGTTCATTTGAGTAATTATTAGCCACCTAACAACAGTCATTAATTGTTATTACCGAACACCCATCCATCACCTCAACCGCCCATGTATCCAATGACTAAAATTAACAGAGTCGCAACATTGCTAGGAGGGACTCCATCTAGCTATGTTGTCTAAGAGAAATTAAGACTAACAGTATTGCCACGAGTGACGTGACGTCGATGGGAAGTGATTTCAACTCACTGTGTTGAATGCTCCGTCATGACTAAAAAAGATAGCGAGCTGCAAGCCCAACCTGCGCACAGGCTAAAGGGGCCTTTGTGCAGACGCAAGCGTGTGACGTGCACCTCAAGTGCCCTAGCCCCCCTGTACGGGGCATACTCTCCCCTTGGTTCTATGAACACAATAGAAAAGAGTGTTTTCATATAAAAACATCACTTTCTCTTCTTTATTCAACAATGAAGGACTAAAAAACACACTACTCCCTCTACAACAATATCCTCTACAAAACTAAAGTTTGAAATATTATTATTTTGGAATTACTATTTTGCAAAATAGAAATGCTAAACGAAAAAATTAAAGACAGAATAAGCTGATCCTAAATTTAAAAACTCATGCTCTTGGTCTGATTTAAGCCTTCTTTTTAACTAATTAGCTGTTAATTCAACTAAGGATATTTTAAAATTCAGAAGAAATCAAGCCACAATATGCTAAATTAAAACATAATATCTACATAAGAAAATAATACATGGTATAAGAATATATGTATAATTACGGTCTTATCAAATGTAATCTGGCAAACCAAGGTGACCGTTTTCATATGTACGGCATCAGCAAAATACATTTGAAATCCCAGAACTATCTATTTCTGCATCACAAAATGTCACGCATGCATGGATTGCCTCACAAGTTAAGGCTTTAAACCATAAGATTGAAATAACTACATTTATGGTGGTTTGAAGCCATCCCATTTTCGAAAAGTCACACAAAGCTCTAATTTGGCTGAATTAATTTAGAATTTTTAAAAAATCTTCACATGCAAACTTGACATGCATTTGTGAATCATCAAATCTGGAAAATCTCATGTGGATGATTGATTTATATTAGGAAAAGACAGCTAGTATCATGAGAACTGAAATACCTTTTTAAGTCAAAGGTCATGAAGAAAAAAACTACCATATTGAAGTCAAATATTCAAATTTAGAAAGAAAAAAAAAATTCATAGGTGTCGGGTCGGGTCCGTTTGAGCATCAGGTCCGGATCATGCTCAAACGGACCCAAATCGATAATATATAGAGTGGACCTAGACCCGGTCCAGGCTGGGTCCAAGACCACTCTACCCGGACCCGGACCTGGACCTAATGGGGGGTGCAGGACCTGGATATGACCCAGACCCAGACCCAAACAGAGAATCCATGTCGGGTTGGGATCCGACCACATCCAATACAACCATAGAAGGTTTTAAAAATCAAATCTCCTATATTTCAATTGTCACATCCAAAAGTCTACAACTAAAACAAGATCTCCATTCTCAAACCCATCAATTGAAAAGTTTAGCTCCCAAAAGCCTCATTCTTCATTCTCTCCCTTGAGAGAAACTAGAAGACGCAATACACACAAAAAAACATCTATCAAAAGTTTTAACTCCCAAAAGCCCCATTCTCTCTCTAGAGAGAAACTAGGAGATGCAAAATACCAAAAAAAGTAATACATATATATGCATAGGCAGTCTTCCATTTTAGTGAGAAAGAGAGCAAAATTTATATTGGAGATAATAAAAATAAAGGAGCCAGAGAGTCCATATATGTACACACACACACACACATATATATATATATGGGTGTGGTTTGTATAGAGAGCCTAGGCTCTAAACAATCAAATTAGAGCCTACCTTCCAATAGCACCGAGAAATGTGGTTTCAATACTGGAAATCTTTGTGATAGCCTTAAAATATATTTTCATCTTTATTTATAAAGTTTAAAGCTTCAAAAATAGTGTAGATCGATAGATCTATGAAAACTTGAAAATCTTGAAAATTGACGGTCCAAAAATGAGTTACAAAATACTCTATTTCCAAAACTTGAAATCCATTTTATTCTGATATCCATGCAACTTGATGTCAAGATGATCAATTTGAGGATATTTGGGCATCAAAACAACCTCTTCTAGTGAAATTTTTTAGGTAGGTTAGTCGGTGGGAGGCAAGGCACACAGGGGATAGG